TTTTGGGGAAAAATATTAATTAGCGACTGAAATGTTGTCGGCAAATGCGATACTACACCCCCCTGCTTTACTTAGCCTTTTCGCTACGGCCCTGCTCCTGGCTGCATTGTTTTCGTTAGACTTACACCAAGACTGCAAAGATTGTCAGTTTCCGAACATTCAGAGATGAAATCTAAATAAGTACTTTGTATATGGACTTAAGAGTCTTCTTCTCCTCGTTCGTTCGAGTAAATCATAAAATTTAATAAGCATTTATAGAAACGCAAAAATTGATTCTAGCACATAAAATTGATTACACAAAAAATTAAAATATGCAGCGCATGCGCAGATGTTTATCAGCGGTGTCACAGAATACTACACAGAAGTCCATCTCCATTGTTTTTTTGTGTAAGCGCTATTCGTCATGATTCGTCGCTCAGCAAGTACCGTAAACAGAAGCAGTCACCCCTGGACGTTCGCCATTTTTAGTATTTCCAGGGGGGTACTGCTTCTGTTTACGGTACTTGCGGAGTGACGAATCATAACGAATAGCGCTTACGCTAAAAACAATGGAGATGGCCTTCTGTGTAGTATTATGTGGCGGTGTTTGTCCATTTCAGTCGATATGCAAAGAGTTTTTGGAAAAGCAAATGCGGCAGTACAAAGACCCAAGATGAGCAAAGATGATCTAAACCTGTTGTATTAAACTAGAACTAAATAAAAATAATTTGGTGTGAACGAAACTGAAAATATAAGATTAAGGAAATTTGCTTCGCATGTCAATTTTGCTTCGCAAGTTTATTATTAAATATCTTGCTGGAATGCTGGCACGTGAGTGAGGTTTTGCAGTTTGCTGTGGAAGTGTCATATATTAAGGTAAACCCCATTGATTGTTTTTATAAAAAAGATCATGATTACATACTTAACGTCGTTCACGAATATTTCACACGCAGCAGTACATAATAAATATTTATTGCTTTTATATGAACGAAAAGACTGACAATAAAATATGAAGATTGAAGTTCCCAAAACTTAATATAAATTTCTCGTACTTTAATGTATGTTAGTAAAAGAGTTCTTGACTTCTTGTGCGTATCATGCATATCTATGGTATCATGTATACATATGTACTTTTATTAAAAACTCAGCCCGAGAGTTTACTTGAAAAGTTTGAAACAGACGAAGCAAAACAATGCATGTAGCGATAAACATATTTTCAAAAACTTATTCTTGAAGACAGTATAATTACAGACTGTAGACTATGCTAATCTTTCCTACTTACCTGACGATTTCTTTATTAAAAGTAGTAAGAAAGATACTAAAAACGTAATTTTTCCAGCTCTTTTCATTTTTCGTCCTTCCAACCGATTCGTTGCCATGGATACCATAACCAATTTGATGACGTCATCGTCATGTGATCAATTAGCCTTGTCTCACGAAGGCCAAATTCGCTATGTTTGGGGTACGTTTTTGAAAACGACTAAGCGATATCTTAAAACATTTTTCAAATATTTAACTGTAAATTAACTTATAATGATTATACTCACAATTATACTTATAGTTATACAAATCCCTTATTCACTGCGTACAATCTCAGATTTGGAAAGGCAACCCAAAAATGGCGGCGTGAGAAAGGCTAATTCACGCAGTTTCAAGATTGGTTCAAGCCTTTTATAGGAAAATTGTGTTAAAAACTTAATGAATTAAGATACCTAGCTTATCGTAGGATTAAATTACTGATACACTTTAACGCGGATCACGGGCAAAGCAACCGTTATGGAAAACGTCCTTAATTAAAAGCCAAACTTATCCCTCGTTGAATGAATGATGCATAGTCGCGCGTTGAATGATCACCTTTAGGGCATTCCCATGGGCCTTTGCGCCATCTCTATCTTCGAAGAAAATTCAAGGAAATTTTCAAGGGAAATTTTAGGGACTGTGGAAGAGTGAGAGTCTGATCTCCATGGCAGACATCCTTCACGTTGAAAACGGACATAGTAAAGAGGAAAACTAACTGGGAGTTACTATCGCAAGGAAAGTGCTGCCTCGACGCTCTCAATGGATGGAAAATCGGACACTTCCTGTTGTTTACACCAACAAGGCCATGAAGGAGCACTGCTTTCCCCTGGGGAAAAAAAGCTTCTGGTATTTATAAATCTTTGATAAAATAACAATACATTATTGCTGTTGAAAGAATACAATTTAGTTCAGAGAGATCAGATAACGCAACTGAATGGAAACATATAACATGCGCGCACCGTACAATTTCCCTCTATATCCGTTCATATGAAAATGCTGTAGTTAGATACTTTATTTATACTAGATAGCTCTATCAATGGCGTACCCGAGATTTTTACATCGAAAAGAATCAACTCTGGTGCTATAGAAATCAATATGTATAACATGACTAGAAAGTCAAATGATTGTTTTTTTAACAAACAAGAACTAAAAACAAACAAAAACAAACAAACAACTCATAAAGTTTTCATGCAAAACAAAAAATTAAATTCAATATTTTATGACAATATATGAAAATCCTGAAAGGTGCACCTGAAAATTTTAACACACCCGCACTTAATTTTTGAATGAAAAGAGCCATACTCTGTGGCTATATATATATATATATATATATATATATGTTGTGTCTAAACTGTTCTTTCTAAACCCCAAATGTCCGATTCTCAAAGGGCACAGTAGGAGATCTTAAACTAAAGCATAGTCAAATCAATTGCTATATCAATGATACGGAGAATTAAGTAATTTGTTTTTGGTGTGTTTGATTAAAATATTGACATACCAAAATGTGGTAACACACAGAGATTGAAAACAACAAATGTAGCCGAAAGGCAATGGTCAATGTCTAGATAATCCCTGGATGAGACATTTAAATAAACATGTGATTTCCTGTAAAGGCCAAAGGCAAACCAAAAAAATGCAGTTTAGAAAATTAATGCATATACATGTAGTCATAATAGCTGACCTTCTTGTGTTAAGTGGTAACTATTTGGGTGGTTATGAAAACAAATAATTTATGTTTACTACCAAGACTGACTAGGTGGTAAAATGTACAAGTGTTTATATATTTTACAATACTTAATAGTTTGTTAGTGTGCCACACAGTGTTTTTCAAGCGCCCACTCGGCAAGTTTGAAGTGACTCTATGAATTCAATGATGAAAGTTCAATTCCATTTGTTTGATTTAGTTTTTAATTTTCGTAAGACTCCAAGAGTGTTTCGTTGCTGCGAAAACGAAGAATGGAGGTGGATATTAACCTAGCTATATCTTGAAAATGATTTAGAGACAGCGTGTGAAATTTTAAACTTTTTCTGCCAAATTGAAAAGCATTAATCGTTTGAAGATTGTTTTGGGAGTTTGCTTTCAAAGTCGAGTATGTTGAATGCAGTGTAGGCCTACCACAAACCCCGTTCAAACAAGTTCAACGTTGGTCCGACGACGATCAGGACCAGGTTGGACATTGCGTATCGTAGCAGTCATGAAAACACAATTATCCCTCATGAATAGTCATGATTCCTTGTTACCCCCATCATTTCTCAACTATTGCACAATACTGCCTTTGGCTTTGAGCACCGAAGGCTAATCCAAGAACAGTCCTTGAAAATTTCCGCAGGTCCTTGAAAGTCCTGGAATTTGTTAATTAACAGCATAGAAATAATAGATATATATTATTTATATGATTAACGTGCAGCCTGTGCTGATAATACTTGAACATTATTTAGACTATCATAATTGATTTTGAAAAAAATAGTGTTTTAAAGATTTGTCCTTGAATTTACTGAAATCCTGGAAAAGAAAAAGTCCTTAGATTTCATCTTCACTAGGGTGGAAACCCCGGCTAGGCTATTAAGTATACACAAACATGGATATTGGATATTATGATATTGCTCAAAATGCGAATGTCGCTTTGACTTTGTTACCATTTCCTGTAAATATTTTATGTATATCCCGATCCTCACCAGAAACATCGTTCGACATCCAAAAATAGTTTATGTAACCTTGAACGCCTGACATGCATGCAGGAAACGCACCACACAATTAATTTTAAATCCACTCAGAGCGCTCCTCCTTTGTTTATACATTGTTGAGAAATCAGAATTTTGTTTACACATTTCTTCTGGCTAAATATTTAAATGGTCTTTAATGTGATTTCATGCAAGAAAATTTAATATTCCGACCACATTACGGGAGCCATTAAACAATTGCTGGTTGGTAAACGGCCTTAAATAACTTATACTTACACTGGTCCTCAGTCAGCCATGTGGTTTATAATTTGTCAGAATGTCACACCAAATAATGGTAACGAGGTTGAATAATGGTGTGATATTCGTGATCTAAAACCTATACTATACGTATAATCGTGTTTTAGTCGTCATCGGACATAAACGAGGTTTGCTGGTGTAGATACGATTTGGGAGAAAATATTGATCACACGCTGCATTGCATATACATTATTAATTCCTACGCTTTGAGCAATCTCTCTCCTCCAGGCTCCACCCTATTTGTAAAGAGGTCTCATGCATGCAGAGTGTCCCATATTCACTGAAAGCATGTATTCGTTGCGTTCACTGTTTATACTTTTTAACCAGGCTTTTAATTTTTATATTCAGGTATTTTAGTACTCGGGTCCAAACGCACTTTACCAGGTCGTAAAAAAGTCCGTGTAATTGGCGTGCGAACATGCATGCATGTCATTAACCATGTACATTCTCACAACGTATACTTATATAGGCGATAACATGCAGCAAAGCTTCAAAAATAGATTAAATTAACCTGCTCCATTTATATGGAGCATTGTCTGGCTTAGTAGCTGCTATTCAATTCGACGACGTATAACCATGCATGAACATAAGGGAGTGTATGTACTATTAATAACATGGCGTTAATCTTTCTCTCAGCTGAATTTGATCATAAAATATCAATTAATGTCAGAACGGATTATAAGGATTAGCCACAAATACGAGTTAAGTAAACTAACAAATATATAATTATGGCCATTATGCACGGAACTATATATTCAGTATTAATTATTGGCTGAACGTTGCTGTTAGAAAAGAAAAATTGTACAATAGTTCACAGATGGGGGTCAAATAGAATAATTTAACTCGATGACTATATATATAATCTCTAGCTGTCCGGGTCCGTTATTGACGTATTTTAAACCGTGCATGCAAGCTACAGGCAGTGGGCTTCGCCCGCCACAATTTTCATTGGTTGAGCGCAAAGATATACAGCAGTTGTAATTTAGATGCACGGATATAATCTGTTCTGTACTCAACTTGAAAAATTAAGATTCTTGCGTCAAGGAAGTTCCCATCAAAAGCATCATGTATATTGGATTTCATTTGAATCAATTCAGATTCTAATACTAGCAATAAAGATTTTGTTACAGAAAATGTCTTCCCATTTACATTAGGTCTAGGGGCAAGCTCATTCGCTAGTGATATCTTTATTCTGCGGTGCATATGAAATAATTCATTGATATTGTAATCATCGTCATTGATAATGTCTGCACGCACACTTGATCAACTGTAGCTGTGTTGCTCTACTTTGCAGTATATGCACTTTATATTCAATAAAATTCGCTTTTCAAATCTGTAATCCTGTACTAGTGTAACTAACAAAGATATATTTATGGATCAACGTTGATTGATATCGAAACTTTTATAAATCTCCTGCATTTGTGTACTCAGCTGTTTAAGATTTATTATGACAAGTTCGAACAAGTCCGGAAAGCCTCACACAAGGAACGCTATCCAAGTAAAGTATTTCAGAGAAAAGTTACATATAAAAATCATTTGTTCAATTAAAAACCACAGTTAGTAAAGTAACCAAACCATATTTGATTGTTATCGGTAACTGTCCTCGCAGAAAAATTCAAAGGCGCAATCTTCTATATCTGCATGCTTTATAAAGATGATCGTTTCGGACAATAGGTTTATTTATGCAATATATTATTTATTAAAGATACCTTCAATTGCCTATACATCTCTATGTAACTTCACTTTAACGTCCCACATATATATTTTATAAATTATGTACACATGCATGTAGGGAACCAGAACAAAATACCAGAGTCCATATGTTTTTTTTATAAATAAAGCGAGCAAGAACAATATAAAAAGGTCATCGTCTAAGACTGGATAGGTCATGTCCTAACGTCGCCTTCAAGTCTTTCATTTGATGTATTTGATGATCTAGAACTACTTCTGTCTCTGTTTGTATACCCTCGTATTGGAAAAAATCCTCTTTCGTTCGTATGTGTTTCTCTTGATCGACTTCTTAAATTATACGGTGAATGTCTTCGAGTGTCTGCAGGTCTGTTTGTACCTTCTCTAGTGGTTGTTGTATGTACTGCACTTCTTAATGATTCATTGTTGCTTGCTCTGGGTGTTACTGGTGTAAAACTACGTTCACGTCGTGAACTGCTATCAACTTGCTGCCATACATAGCGACCTGGTAAAGGACGACCGTTTCGAAAATCAAAGTTCCATTCTTCCTGCTTGCGGTTAAGAAACTGTTCGTTGGCTTCGTCGCCATTAATATTGTTCAACTGTTCACAATCTTCGTTTGTTACTGCATCGTCGAACAACCTTCTGCTGACGTTAGCACCTCTCCTACCACTCATCCCACCCTTTCGCTTCCAAATTCTTCAGATTTTGATGAATATTACACGACTTCTGTCGGAAATTCTGTGCAATAGCTTTGCGGTTTGTTCGTAGTACTACGGCCCACTACTCGTTTACTATCGACGCGGTTATTTGATCTCTTTAAATGGCTTGTTTCCAAGGTTATGAGGACATCCTGCTGATCATGACTGACTCGACATGCATAGTTGCCCTCATTGTCTTTCACGAAGCATTCAAATCAACGTACTATTAGATCATTAACCGATTCTGTTTCTATTTTAGTGTATAAAATTAGTAATCTTTTAACTACTGTTCCATTCTAAGCCTCAAACGCAAAAAGAAAGTGAGAATATGCCTTAAGTTTAGCAAATTTTATGCAACCTTTAGACCATTTGGACATTGTTTGGAATACATGTATGCACGTTATACGAATGTCCGGAATTAATGAGCTTGCATGTCAATTGTTAGTTGTTGTACAATGAAGCGATGAGCGGATGAGGCATATGCACGATATAGAATTTGAAACATTTGGCCTTGTTGATGAACATTATGATCTAATATAAAATGGAAATGACATCTAAAAGGAATGGCTGTATTGTTGAATACTGAGCAGTAAAATATGAAGGAGTTTAATAAATGCCGTTGAATGATGTCAACATAATATTGTATTCACTGACTGAAATTATAAAATTTAATATATTTATAGCCGATTGAGTATAGATGTAGGCTAATCGTCCGAGGTGCTTGTGGTCGATCTTTCAATATCGATCTTTGACCGTATCTCAGACTGCATGTATATTTTCAATTCTAACCAAACCCAATGCTATACCATATCAGTAGGTCTATATACAGCCTGAACAATAATCCTTGTACTTTTTTATTGTCGATGAAGATAGAAGTGGAACAGAATGAACTAATTTAGTCTCGAATTTAGTGTAGTAGTTCCATTTGTTGATCACTATAGTTTCATTGTAATGGTGGCATATAAGTCATATAACTTGCATAGATAAGTAATGTATATGGAAATAGTCATATGGTAAGGATCAAATTAACAAAAATGTTAACGTATTATACTGTATATACGAATTACATGTAATTGCATGCACCATAATGTGGGTAACAGCATTACTCCGATTGAGGCCGAATCTTACAATTGTAAAATGATAAGAATTTGTATCTCTGCGAACACAGGAAATAATTGAAGAATGACTGATTTAAAAAAAATAAAGATTCTTTGTATTAACTCCCTTGCAGCATACTTGCATGTGTAATTTATTGTCTATTCTTACATTCACTTTTACTTGTATTTTCACTTTATCATTTACAATTCACTTTATAGTTTATAATTTTCAGGCTAAAGGAGTAACAAGAACCACTCTATCCTGCACAGTTTGTTACAGTTTTTTTCAAAAAACTAGGAGATATCGAATAACTCTAAATCAATACATACAGTAGACTAGGATTACAATTCCACATTCTTGTATGTGCTATACAGGGGATTCCCGAACAATTTGGCTGAGAACAGGAAACAGATTTTATCGTGCTACCACGGGTGGTTCATTCTTTTGACGACTGATGACAAGCGTTTACCACTTTGGCTAGCTAATAGGGGATACTTCCCGCCATATATTACCTGTTCTCGCGGATTATATCAACTTGGATGTCCTTTGCGTGCTTTGAGGATGTTCTAAAATAATTCTGTATTTTGTTATTCCTTAGTTGTCGTTTTCTTTTGTGTTTTCTCCCACTTGCTACGTGAAATACGTCTGAATTTATTAATCCCAATATTTACTGCAAACTGCATGAAATCGTGCACTGTGCTTCATATATCGTACTGTACTATATACTGCACTGCACGGCGCTGCAGTACAGTACTGCACTGCACTGCACTGCACTGCACGTATACAGTACAGTACAGTACAGTACAGTACTGCACGTGTACAGTACAGTACTGCACGTGTACTGTACTGTACTGTACTGTACTGTACTGTACTGTACTGTACTGTACTGTACTGTACTGTACTGTACTGAACTGTACTGCACGTGTACTGCACGTGTACTGCACGTGTACTGCACGTGTACTGCACGTGCACTGCACTATACTGTACTGTACTGTGCTGTGCTGTACACACATAACGTAACAATCTCACAACTTGTCAACAAGATGTGTTCGCAACAGGATCGTAACGTAAAAATCTCACAACTTGTCAACAAGATGTGTTCGCAACAGGATTGTAGCAAGCTTGTCAACAAGTTGTAACAATGCTGTTATTTTATCAAGTTGCTACTAGCTTGTCACTCACAACTCGTTGACAAATTGTTGAATTGCAGTACGATTACCTGTTGTTGGAACAAGTTGTAACAAGTCTGTTGAACTCAACAACCTTGCAGCAAGTTGTCAACAAGTCGTTGACAACTTGTCAACAAGCTGGGAATAAGCAGTGCGAACACATCCTGTTGACAAGTTGTTGGAACAGCATTGTTACAAGTCTGCTGCACGTTTGTTACAACTTGCGCGTTTTTACGTATGTACTCTACTCTACTCTACTCTACTCTAGTCTACTCAACTCTACTCTACTCTACTCTACTCTACTCGGCTCTACTCTACTCTACTCTACTCTACTCTACTCTACTCTACTCTACTCTACTCTACTCTACTCGGCTCTACTCGGCTCTACTCGGCTCTACTCTACTCTACTCTACTCTACTCTACTCTACTCTACTCTACTCTACTCTACTCTACTCGGCTCTACTCTACTCTACTCTACTCGGCTCTACTCGGCTCTACTCTACTCTACTCTACTCTACTCTACTCTACTCTACTCTACTCTACTC